GCTCCCTTCCTCCACAGGGTCCTCATGTCCCCCAGTAACGCCCACCTCTGACATCAGCAGCCTCCAGCTGCTTCACAGGGATGACTGCAAGAACAAGCTAACAGGCCTGAAAAAGCTGAGAAGACTAAGAGAAAGTTGCTCAAGTAAATCTAGTCACTGCTATTAAAATGATTTGAATGTGAATTTTTATAAATTTTATAGTTAGGGCTGGGGATGTGGCTCAAGCGGTAGCGCGCTCGCCTGGCATGTGTGCGGCCCGGGTTCGATCCTCAGCACCACATACCAACAAAGATGTTGTGTCCGCCAAGAACTAAAAAAAAAATAAATATTAAAAATTCTCTCTCTCTCTCTCGCCTCTCTTTAAAAAAAATAAATAAATAAAATAAATTTTATAGTTAAAGAAGTAAATCTGGTGAGGTGGCCATTAAACAAATAGGCTATTTTTTTCTGACAAAACCTCCTTGGGTCTTGCTTGATCTATAAATTGGAAAAATAAAATAGCACCAGTTAGTTTTTCCATTTCTCCCTTCCTCCCTCTCCTTCCTTCTGGTACTGGGGATTGAACCCAGGGCCCCATGCATGTTGGACAAGGGAAGAGCACCAGTGTCCCAGGGTTGTTATAAAAATTAGACCTTAGCCCAATGTCAGGAAATGTGGAAAGATGCTGTACACTAGCATGGACTGCCACTGTGATGGCTGTCTCAATAACTCTCACAACACTACAAGGATGTTATTTTGCTCAAGACCACCAAGTTAAATTCTAATAGATTTTACTCCAAAGCCATTTTTAATTATAAAACAATACAGAAAAGTACCTGAAACAGACTAATTAATTTTGTCTGGCATCTTTGGTAAACATTCATTTATGATGTATGTAGCATAAACTTTGTATGCCCATTACATGTCTATATTTATCTGTAGCTATATATTCTGATGGATGTGACAAGTCTCTCTGGGGTATACACTCAAGGTGTGCCAGTACTAGGTATGAAATGTACTGCCAGCTGTGCAGTATGCATTCTAGTTTACTCTGCTACTAGCAGTGAAGATTCCCATTGCTTCACATTCTCACCAACACTTGCCTTTGTCAAGACATTTTTATTCCACCACTCATCAGACTGGCAGTTTGGTGTGATTTTTATATACATTTCCCTGATTACTACTGAGACTGAGCACTTTTTCATGCTTTGTATTTACTGGAACAACCTTTTATAATGTACTAACTTGGGCTGGGGATGTGGCTCAAGCGGTAGCGCGCTCACCTGGCATGTGTGTGGCCCGGGTTCGATCCTCAGCACCACAAAGATGTTGTGTCCGCCTAAAAATTCTCTCACTCTCTCTTTAAAAAAAAAAAATAATAATAATGTACCAACTTGTGACTTATCTTTTCAAAAAATTTTTATTTTATGCTTTCCTTCCATTCTGCCTCACAAGGGGTTCTAGATAAATGATGCAGATAGCACAGAGAAGATAAATGCCAAGGATATTTTTTCTGTGACTCATTGTGCTAAACACAGCTGTCCAGGCTAGGGCTTAATAAATGTATGCTGGTTTGATAATTGCAAGTCTATAGTCTTTACCTGCAATTCAAAATCCAAACATTGCTGAAAACCAAAATTTCTCCATGTTTGGTAAAAAAAAATTCACTTGGCCACAAAAACTGAACTAACACGACACTACTACCATTTCCTGCGCAAACAGTTATGTGTTCGACTATGGATGCTGCTCCAGACTTGGCTGGAGAATAACATAACACACAAATACCTACATTCCAGGACTGTTTGCTAAAATCCCCCAAATTTCTGAATTGCTCAACACATCTGGCCACAATGATAGTATATACACATAGGATTCTAAACCTACCATTTACTGAATCATTGTAATGTTTTCAATACCATGAATTCATTTTACGTACATAACAAGACGGTTATGATGATTAAATGAAGTATTATTAGCCTTTGCAATTTTTTTATAGATATCAGAGGCTCAAACAGGTTACTTTGCCTACTGAGATTCATGTTGATTGAAACTTGTATATTTTGCATATGTAGCACAACTTCCACTAAAGGTTTCATCAATACATACATAAAAGCAGTAAATGAGCCCAGCTGAATACTTGGAGCACATACATGGAATAACATTACTTACATGGATTAATCAGTAACCAAGAGCTAGCAGGACCTGCAAAGAGCACTAAGTATGCTATGGTATCAGGCATGAGAACATTGAAGCCAAGAGAGAGAGGTTAAAGGGTATGTGTAAGCCCTCACATCCAGTCAGTCTGAGAACATGAAGATAATAATTTTAGTCTGTTTAACAAAAACTTCTTGACATCTGAGATATCATTAATAATGCATTCCTCTTCTTAAAGACTTTAAAGAATGTTAATTCCTGAAAAATTAAATATTTAAACCAAATAAGTTTCAAAATTTTAAAACAGCCCTTTCTCACCTTGTAAGCTTCCAGTATTCTTACCAGTCTCAGAAGGGGACTGGATGTTCCCTTGTCCCAAGCCACCTATTCCAAGACTTCCATCTTCTCTGGAGCCTTGATTCAGCAATTATCACCCCTCTCTTGTATCTTCAACCTTCCCATTTTCTACTGGCTATCCCTCTTTAAAAAAAAAAAAAAAGTGGGCCTCCTCCCAGTATTCCCTTGCGGTAAAGAGTAGCCCTGTTTTCTCTTTCCTTTCTTAGCAAGCCTGCCTTCCTTCTTGGGATTGAACCTAGGTCACTTTACCATGCATATCCTCAGCCTCTTTGATTTTTTTGAGATTTTTTAAAATTTTTAAGTAGCTGGGGTCAGAGGTGTGTGTGCACCTGGCTGACTTCTCTCTTCTAGTCAGTTCAATTGAGCAAATATTTACTAAGCACCTTTTGTACACTTGAAACATACTAGAATTCACACTGATATAGCTACTAACATACCTTTTAGAAGGATGTCTACCCCCTACCCCTATGCCAAAGTTCTGAAGGCATACTAAACAATTTGTTTACATTTAGATCAAAACACTTTTGGAGAACACTATACTTGAAATGTAGCGGAAATCATAAATAATCACTACTAAGTCTGCATGTCAAAGGCTAGCTTCATAAACTTCATAAAAAGATAGTGTAACAGCCTCAAATTCATTCAAAGTTTGACAGCCAACCTCCAAGAGGGCCTCAATGATTCTGACCTTCTATTACTCTAGCCCAGTCTAGTCTCTTCTACACAGTATAGAGCTGACCTGTGTGATCAATGGGATATTTTGGAAATGGTATATTATTTACTTTAAGGGGGAAGCTAGCTGAACATCATGAGAACACTTAATTGGTCTAAAGTTTTATTTCAGTAAAACTTGTCTAGGAACTGAGGTTTCTGGCCAACCACATATATTAACTGCCAGGCAAGTGACTGTGCTACTTCAGAAACAATTCCTCTGACCCCAGTGGAGCCTTCAGTGACTGCAACTCCAAGAGACTCTGAGCCAGAATCACTCAGATAAGCCACACTTGGAAGATTTTTTGGCAATACTAGAGACTGAGCCCAGAGGTGCTCTTCCTAATGAATTACATCCCAAGCCCTTTTTATTTTCTATTTCGAGACAGGGTCCCACTAAATTGTCCAGGCTGGCTTTCAACTTGCCATCCTCTTGCCTCTTAGCTTGGGAGTAGCTGGGATTAAAGGCATTACTTGAATATGACCTCAAATTTGCCATTCTCCTGCCTCAGCTTCCTGAGAAGCTAGAATTACAGGTGTGTATCACCAAACTTGGCTTAGTCATATACTTTAAAAAAATACTTACTTTTTTAGTTGTAGTTGGACACAATTGCTTTATTTTATTTATTTTCTATGAGGTGCTAAAGATCGAACCCAGGGCCTATCACATATGAGGCGTGTGCTCTACCGCTGAGCCACAACCCCAGCCCAGTCACACACTTTTTT